GCAAGAAATTGTATTTAGTAAAGTGTATTTTTGAAGGAATTTCATTCATACAACTCACATTATTTGAGTTGCTCTTCTGTTGTGAATTTTTTGTTTGTTTGCTTTGCAGTGCTGGGGATTGAACCCAGGGCCTCATACACGATAGGCAAGCACTCTACCATTGAGCCACATCCTCATTCCCTGTAGTGAGTTTTTAAATGCCTCTTTTTCAACAAGTGTTCATAAAGCATCCATAGCAAAAGTCTCCTCTTTTCCTCACAAGGCACATTGTACTTACTTCTCTGTTCTACTTATTTCCCTCTCTACTTCTGTAACCTCAAAGTTCCTTAGAGATCTCAGAGACCACAATTTTCATCCTAGGGCTCAGCAAATATTTGTTGATTCAATGAAGGAAATTGGGGAAGATTGCATGATGAAGGTGACATTTTCGGGTGACATTCAAGAGCAGATGAGATATTGACATGTGTTAATGGGGGTGGAGGATAGGATTGCCAAATACAGATTTTACTTGAGTCATACTTATATTAAAAATTATTGGTTGTGTATCTGACTCCAAATTTAACTGAACATCCTGTATTTTTACTTGCTAGATCTGGGACCCCTCAGGAGGCAGGGAGTGGTCACCCTAGGTGGGAGAAACTGTTCCAGCAGTAGTCTGAGCTGAATTTACGTGCTTGGAGAGTGGTACATGGTCTAGTTGCACTTTGTATAGAGAAGTATAGGTTGAAGCCCAAGCAGGGACTATGTGGAATACTCAAAGAATTTATGTTGAATTTGATAGGCAGTTTAGAACTTAAATAAACAAGGTGTGACGGAATCAAAGATAAGCCATCTGGAGATTTAATCTGAAAGTGGTTTATGTGTAGATGAGCTGGAGAGAGGAAATTAGAAGACTGGACAAGCTCTTGTTCTTAGGCTTCTACTCTCACATCTCCCACCCTCTTCCTACCCTCTTTGACTCACCCTGATCCCCCTTAGAGGTTCTCATTCTTATATCCTTATGTAAGTCACTACTTCAGCCACTCACTCACCATCAACTTCATTTCCTCTGGTTAAGTTGTCTATCCATTGCGATAGATTTGCGGAGTTTAAAACTCAGTTTGTCCGGTTGCCTACTTCTGAAATTGAGGCCCTGTGTCCTCTTCGAGAAAAACAAACAACTGGGTAGCTTGATGCCATTAAGGATGAATGACATGTAGTTATAGCTGCCCCCACCCCCAGCAAATCTTCAGCTTGTCTCTCATCAGCTCTTTTCCATTTTAACAGAAACTACCTAAACCCTGCACTCTGTTCCTGCTTTTTTCTTTGTTTCTGCCCAATGATCATGGTTCCTACTGTATAGAAATATGGAGGCCATGTGTTGAATGCATTCCTTCATCTTTTCTTATCCATGCCCAAATTTCCTGCTTCCTTCTCTGATCAATAGCATCTGTTCTACAAGTACTTGTAGGGTACCCACGACATACACTCAGAGATGTTTAATACTCTCCGGTGAACAAAGCCAGTAAATATTTCTGTTCTCTTGGAGGTAGGGCTATGCTTTCTCCTGGCCAAGCAGGGGCTTATGACTATGCCCCCATCCTCGGGGCCCTTGATCATTACCTTTATACTTATTTTTACTTGCTTCAGTAGCTCTATAATCATTAACAAGCCTTTTCCCTAAAAAAGCCCTGTCCAGATATTGGCCTTTATAACCATATAAATATATTAATAGAGCTTATTTAACAAAAAGGTCCTGCTCCCTGTCACTATTTCTTAATTTTCCATTTTTTCTCAGTCTAATGCAATGTAGCTTCTGCCTACCCTAATCAAGTAAATTTGCTCTCATTAAAATCAACCGAGAGGGACTGGAGATGTGGCTCAAGCGGTAGCACGCTCGCCTGGCATGCGTGCGGCCTGGGTTCGATCCTCAGCACCACATACAAACAAAGATGTGTCCACCGAAAACTAAAAAATAAACATTAAAAAAAAATCAACAGGGATTTCTTTCTTCTTTCTTTCTTTTTTTTCCATTTTAAAATTTATTTTAAGTAGGTATATATGACAGCACAATGCATTTTGATTCATTGTACACA